CAATTCATACAAAATCGTGATTGATCAAGAACATGAGGGTATAATTTATATAGACGATGCGAAGCATCATCAATACGAATTGCGTGATAGCTCCGTGGTAACGCGTTAGGTTGCGAGTCCGTAGGTCGTAGGTTGGAACTCCTCTGCGATAAAAAAATTTAATTTCGGTTTATAGGCTTGACAGGTACGATTCCGAGAGTATTAAACAATAAACATAAATTGTATTTGTTGAGAAGAATGCTTAACTGAAAAATTATTATTTTTTTCATCTTATCTCAGAGCAATGGTACTCCACATATATAGGATAATTATAATACGGTATCAGAAAATTATAATATCAAGATATAATTTTACAGGACGTGTATATGAAAATTTCTATACTGGTATGTGAATTTTATCAGATGGTATGAGACCCAAAAGTATGATAAATTTATAATACCGTATGATGTAACTTACTTCCTACACATGTGCAATAATTTTGGGTTGGAAATTTTTAACAGTGCACCTATTTCGGTCTCTTCAACACCACCTAGCTGATGAGCACTTCAAAACAATCGACGAGGTCCGAAAAAGCATCGATGAATTTATTGAGTCAAAACCGCCAAGTTTCTTTCGCGGAGGAATTCGTTAGTTGCCAGTGAGGTGGAGTAAAGTCATCGAAAATAATGGGGAATATTTCAACCGGTAAATGTCTTTTTGTTTTTTTATAATAAACTCTGATTTTCATGAAAAAAAAGCACCTTATTAATTTGTACACCTAATATTACCTCGATGGAATGAATAAATAACTCCACCACTGTAATGGGTGATATTCCCAAGAAATCATTTTTTATGTATCCCAGAAAATTTCAGTTCTGGCGAAAATCCAAAAACACGTGTTCTGCATTTTTCCATGTTCTTTCAAACTCAATTGCTTTTATAAAATTCTGAGTCAGTTTGTTTTTTACAAAACGAAATTTTTATAGGGGTAGTTTATCCCTCAAATTTCAACCCCCAGGTGAACTATCAATTATGATTTTCATAATTCCTCACCAGCTATGTATTACTTTGATGAAATGGATAAAAAACTTCACCACTGTGATGGGTGATATTTCCGAGAAATTTTCACCCCAGAAAACTTCAGTTCCGGGCAAAAACCAAAAACAGGTATTCTGCATTTTTCCATGCTCTTCCAAATGCAAACGGTTTTATCAAATTATGAGCCATATATTTTTTTTTTTTTTGAAAAACAAAATTTTTACGGGGTAGTTCACCCACCCAATTTCAACCCCCGGAGGAACTATCAATTGTGACTTACTATCAATTTATAACTTCTCACAAGCTATTCATTACCGTGATGAACATTTGTAAAAACACCCTCCTTATAGGTGGAATCGAAAGATCAGCCCCGAAGGTGGTCACCTTCTGACCATGGTTTCCCCCCCCCCCCCAAGCCGCGTATTAGCCGATAAAAAAAATACGTGTCCTTTAGTTTTGAGTCCTCTACAACATATATGAGTTTGATCAAAATCGGAGGGGAACACCTCCCTAGTGTTCCTTGTAAGCCTTAAAGGAGCAATGAAGGGCAATTATCTAATGCAAACACTTGGGGTCAAATTTTTTTTTGGGAAATGCACCGAATCGAGAACTAATCCTATCTGAGTTGGCTAAATGCGGGATAAATTGCATAATTGCATTTGCATAATTATAGAACTGGAACTCCATAATGAGTGTTACTAGATAGTTTGCAATTAGAAATTGGAAAATTATGCTAGTACGATATTATTTCAGTTGACGAACCACAACGTGATAGGTTCACATGTATTCCGGGTGAACCCTGGTATCCGCAAGGGTTTAATTAATGTTATTAAAAATTCCCTACTTAGGGCACCGGGAAAATTCTTAATGGGGATCAACCCCCAACCCCCCGGTGCATTTTCCAAGAAAAAATTTGATCCCAAGTGTTTGCGTTTGATTATAATTCTTTTTTTTCACACGGATTTGTAAAAATCAATTAAAAATCTCCTACTGACAATATGTTTAATTTTTCACGGCTTTGCTTTGTATTAATTTTTATAATTTAACGAGATGGGAGCGTACAGTGAGTGGCGGTAGTGAGGGCCGTACAGTACCCCACCACATCTCCCGCTACGGTCTCCCGCTAGTTTCAGCGTCATGTTTGTGAGACTTTCTCTTAGAAAATTTTTCGAAGTGTAAGAAACACCCTAAAATTGTGAATATTGAAAGGAATCATCGAGATACGCGGCGGCGTATCGGCCAAGAAAAAGTTTTGACTCTGACTGTACAAAACTGGCCGAACGCTGCTGTGTATCTATAGAGGTTAAGAATATCCGTGGATTTTTAGAGTGGGGTCCAAGCATGTGAGTGGGAATTACGTAGAGTGGGGGTACCCTCGGAAGAATAAACTTCACAAAGCAACTACCCCCTCCACTAAAATACAAATGTGACAAGCTACATGAAAAATAATCTTAGTTACATTATATAAATCGACCACAAGCTGCTCATTGATGTCACTATTTTTGCTTCCGAATGGAAGCATTGTAATCGTTCAAAAAAAAGTTTTCCATTCTTTGTGTTATATCGACTTATCATGATCCAGAAAGTCCGAAAATGCAATTTTTAGACGTCGTCCGTACGTATGTGTGTATGTATGTAACAAATTTTTTCAAACTTTTTCTTTAATTTCTCGCTAATGAATCGATGGAATTGAATCTTTTTTTTTTTGATGTAGGTATTGTTGAGCCCTATCCATCGCCGTTAATCAAAATTAAATTAATTCATTAATTTTTGCTTCCGAATGGAAGCATTGTAATCGTTCAAATTGAAGTTTTCGATTTTTTGTGTTATATCGACCCATTATGATCCAAAACGCCCGAAAATGCATTTTTTAGACCGTGTCCGTCGGAATGTGTGTATGTATGTATGTATGTATGTATGTGACAAACTTTTTCGTCACTTCCTCGCTAATGAATGGATGGAATTGAATCATTTTTTTTTAATCAAATGAAGGTATTGCTAAGCCCTATTCGTCGCCATCAATTAAAATTTAATTCAATGATTCATTTTTCTTATTTTCGACTTTTTTCAAAATTCAGTTGTAACACGATAAATAAAAAAAAAGTTTTAAATCCATTGAATGATGGCTCAAAGAATTCGTTGGGATATCCTTTTGACCGAGTTCGAAGATGAAAGTGATAGCATTAATCGTTATTCTAATTTTTGTGAAAGTTTGCAAAAATTACGTATTTTTTAGAAATTTGAATTCCGCAGATATCTTTGGATATTGCGCTTTAAATCAATTCAATCATAGCTTAATATGTTTGTTTCAATGCAACTCTGACGAAGTTAAAAGGTGGTTACAATAACTGTCTCGGTGACTTTGCTTTTTATGATGATTTTTGAAAATTTCGAATTTTTTATGAATTTCCCTGAAAATTAGCTTTTTGATGGTTCCTTCAAATGTGAGGTTTTGAATGCATTCGATTGTGTATAAATGAGATATTTCTAATAATATTTCATCGGAACTTTCAGATATTTGAGATATTTTTCGATAAAATAATCCAAGAACGATGAAACATTTACTTTCACTAATTACAGTGGAAAATTCACTTTCACTGATTATTCGCATGGGAAAAAGGTTCAAATTGATTCAATTATCATTTAACATAACCATTTCTATCTCATTTTCAATAAATAAACTCGTGATATAAATATATATTCTATAATTTTGTAGAAAAATAAGTATAACCGAAAAGAACCAAAGAGAATATATGCAAACCTGTTATGAGCAGCTGAAATATCAGCTAAAAGAAACTGAGATTTCAGTTATCTGGGGCTCATAACCCATATTCTCTTCAAAAAAACCCAGACAGAAATTACAAAAGAGAATAGGTGTCGAATGAAAAAGATAATATTGTAATTATTATTATTTCGCCTTTCCCCGAAAGAAGGAAAGAGTGAAAAGAGTAGTAGAAATGAATAAAAGGAAGATAATGGGTTATATGCAAGGAAGGAAAAAAAAATGATGAAATTTCATTAAGTGGAAAATCGAAAAAAATTAATTGGAAAGAAATTAATTGAATTCAGAAAAATAAAATAGGCTGGGAAGAATATGCAATAAAAAAAGAGCAAAATGTACCATTCGGAAGCATATTGCTAATTTATTAGCAAAAATAATTATACTATATGCAATACAAGAGCAATTTCCCACTTGTTTTAATTTTTGAATTTTTTCAAAAATCGGCTCTGTAACACGATAACTGAAAAATAAATGTTTTAAATTCATTGAATGATAGCTCAAAAAATTTGTTTGTGTCCTTGTGACCGAGTTCGAAGATGGAGGTGATAGGCATAATCGTTCTTTTGATTCATCTGAACGCTTGAAAAAATTTTGTATTTTTTGAAAATCAGAATTCCGGGGATAACTCCAAATATTATGCTCCAAATGAATTCAATCATAGCTTAAAATGTTCGTTTCAATCCTATTATGTGGCAGTTAAAAGATGATGACAATAGCTATTATAAATGATATTGAGAATCAGGGGATGGTGAAGAAATAATCACAACATTGATCAAATTGTCATAAGTGCGACGTTTCGCTGATTATTTTAGTTTCATCAGGCTCTGGAAAGACATAATATAAACAAAAATCATTAAAAAACCACATGTAAACAAACCTCAACTCTCAAAACATAACCAAATAATTCCTTGTCAGCACTTCACATTTAGACAACATAATCGAGATCCTGTACCTTGACGCGATCAATTTCTAGTCAAATTATTCCTAATGTTCATTGTGTAGGAGCATGCTTTATTGCACAATTCTCCCGATAGAAGAAAACAAAACAAGTCAACAATATGACAGCCACTTCCACAGAACGTCATACCCAGGAGACAACTGAAAGCCCGCGTCGAAAAGATGGTTCGATTTCTCCTCCTTGCGAAATGGCGGCGCCACCTCCCACGATATCGATTTCTCACCAGTCGATCAAACAGGGGCCTTATTTATCCCCATCCCGTTTAAATCTTCTCAGGATGTTGCTGTACATATTACTGAGCCCTTGGGTGTCCTCACGTTTATTCACCGTGTCGTTGAGGAATATGTGGATCATCTCCACAATATTCCTCTTCTTCCAGTCCGGTTCTGAATCCAGAACACTTGTTTCATCGAATTTAAAGCGATGACCAGGGCGGAAATGATGAGCGGCTGAAGCAGTTTTTTCCTCCTTCAAGATCTTCCGAGGTGCACCATCATTCTTGTGCTGCCTCACTCTCACCCCCAACAACTGCCTCGTCTATCCGATGTAACACCACGAGCATTCACATGGAATTTTATATACTAGCTCAGATCGACTCAGGAGCGGTGTCTCATCCTTTAATTTCGTATACAAATCCCCCACCTTCCTGGTGCTGTACAGAAGAAGTCTGGAGTCAGTGTTCCTCAGACATCTCTCAAGTTATTGCGAGAGTCCATTAATTAATGGGAACTTAAACCCCTTTCTTACCTCCCTCTCATCGCTCGTCGCTTGATGTTCACTCCGTTCCCTGAATCTGCATAAGCAGTTCGTAACGAACTTATCCGGCTAGTCGTTGTTTCCCAGAATCTGCCTCACCTTCCTCACATTTTCATCATGAAACTCTTGATCGCTCAAGCCAAGAGCACGATGCAGCAGTCGAAAAACTACTCCGATCTTCTGTGAGGTTGGATGATTCGACCTGAAATTAACGACTATACCTGCACTGGTTGGTTTTTGATACCAGTTTGTCCTCAGCGTACCATCCTCGCCACGATGGACTTCAACATCCAGAAAGCAGAGCACGTTATTCGTCTCCTGCTCAACCGTGAACTGGATACGGTCATGTACGGAGTTGAACCTCTCCCGTACTTCCTCCACCCGATCTTTCGGCACCGCCAGAATCGTGTCGTCCACATCCACCTTAATCCACGGGACCACAAAAGGCAATTCACCAATCACCTTCGAAACCACATGGTTCATCACAAGGCCTGCCAAGCCTGTGCTCGCTGGATTGCCCATGCCACTCCGATCTAGCTGACAGTAGATCTCATTGTCAAATGAGAAGTAGCTCGCCTCAAAACAATACTTAATGAGGCTCAGCACCACCTCTTTCGATGCCGAGACCAGCGATGACCACTCCTCCCAATTGTCCTCCACGATCTTGATGACTAGTTCCTTAGGTATGTTAGTGAACAGCGACACAACATCCAATGAAATCAAAACATAACCCTCAGGAAGCCTGGTGTTCCTGGCAAACTCCACAAATTCCTGCGAATTCTTAATGTTTACCTCTGATGACTTATGAACCTTGGACAGGAGTGTATGAAAGAACCTCCCCACTTTATAACTCGGTGCCTTCACGCAGCTCACAACTGGCCTGAGTTTGCATCCCTCTTTATGTACTCTCCGAAGTTAGTACATTTTCAGCATCACAGCATTGTGGGTCTTCAGATACTTGGCCTTTTCATCACTCACTACCCCTTCCTTCTTCAACGTCTCCACCAGAGCATTCGCACTCGTTTGGAATCGTGAAGTCGGGTCTTTGTTGGTCTTCCGGTAAGTCATCTTATCAGCCAACATCTCCTTCATCACCCTCAGGTACTCGTCCCTAAACATCAGCACTGTGGCACCCCCCTGGTCTGACCTTGTGAGTAAAACTTGGTTATTGTCCTCCAAGAATCTCCTCGTCACTCTGATGTCATGAGCCAGCTGGTTGTTCATGCTGACCTTTGGCCGATTCTGGAAATTAGTGGCAATATTCACCATCTGTGACCTGATCACATTCCTCGCTTCCCCTTGATCTTCAGGGCTCGTATCATTAACCGACAGACTCTGGATGCAAACTTCCATGTCTTTAATGATTCTCGGAATGGGTAAACTCTGGTCACCCACATCTAGACCAAATTTTGACTCGAGACACAAGACTCGCTTCACTTCTTCAGGTAACACGACAGATGTAAAATTGTGTATGACTGATTCGTGGTGTGTTGATACCTTCACCGACGACGTATTCTGCAACAGGGCATTGAACTTCTTCCTGTTATGTCGCTTCACTCGAGTGAACGTGCCCTCCTGGATCTCTCTGATCTTAAACCCCAGATCTCCCATCAGTTCTGGTGATATGTTGTCTCCAAGGTCATGCTTCAATCTCAGACATTCACCCTCAAGCTGTTTAATCCTCCAAATAGTAATCTTTATTTCCAAGTTTAATACAGGCTTACTGAATCTTCCAACCAGTTTATCCGTATCATTCTTAAAAGGATGATCCTGAAACTGGAGAAAAGTAACTGCCTTGATGTTCTTGGCAATGTGGCTCGGTGCGATGTTATTTCTTTTGCATTCGAGTAAGAAAACTCTCGTATTTCTCATCGATGCCAATTTTTTAGCGTTGTTCTGCCAACTCTTAACTTGTTTGCAAACCGACTCTCCGACTCTTGTTTGGTTATGTTTTGAGAGTTGAGGTTTGTTTACATGTGGTTTTTTAATGATTTTTGTTTATATTATGTCGTTCCAGAGCCTGATGAAGCTAAAATAATTAGCGAAACGTCGCACTTATGGCAATTTGATTAACGTTGTTATTATTTCTCCACCATCCCTTGATTCTCAATATCATTTATCAACATTATGGAGATGAACACTTTCATTCATTAATAGCTATTATATCTCGGTTGCTCTGATTTTTATGATTTTTGAAAATTTCTAATTTGTCATAAATTTCGCTGAAAGTGAGCTTTCTGATGGGTTTTCCCATATGTAGTGTTTAAAATTCATTCAATTAAGTACAAATGAAATTGTTCTGATAACATTTCATCGAAATTTAAAGATCAAATAGATTGCATCATTCTTTCATTTGATTAATAATCGAATTTTAGAAATTATTCTAAGAGCATTCGAAAAAATTTCCTTTCTCTCTCAGATTTCCATGATTTCTCTCCCCATCCCCCCAGCTCCCATATCAATTTTGCAGGAAAAATCTTGCGAGACTCTCCATAGTAAAACGATCGAGTGTCGACTCCCTCAATAGTAAAATCGTGAGATTTAGAATGTCGCAAATTTTGGCCCACCCAACCGGGAATTGAACCTGGGTCTCCGATATGCCAACCCCACACTCTAACCACACAGCCACTGCCGTCGCTCGAAAGTTCGTCATTTTCCATAATTGTTGAAAATGCACTGCCATTGATGATTTGAATGAAAGAAAAGGGGTTGAATTGATTCAATTATTATTGAAGAGAATTACTTCGAGCTCACATAAATTGAATAAATTGGTGGTATAAACACATATTTAATTATCTGCAGAAAATTGAGCTTTATAAGAGAGGATACATGCAAACCTGTTATGAGCAACTGAAAGATCAGTTTTGAAAAACAGTTTTTATTTTATGTGAATGACAAACCTGTCGAATACAGAGCCAATAGAAAAAAGTATTTTCAATAGCTAGGAAACTATTAAACGGATACATAAATTCCCAAACGTAGATAAGAATGTAGCTCTCGAAGAAAATGCTGCGTTGTCAGAACGAGAATATCAGCCCATGTGAGGTAAAAGAAGAATGAGAGCAGTGATAGAATCTTTAAAAAAATTAGTTGTATAAAAAAAAGGGATAATAAAAATCGCCCCCGATCCATCTAATAAGCGCCCAATTTTTTAAATTTGTGCATTCGACTAATTAAACATTGTCGAGCTGTGAATCTCATCTCCTGAACCACTGGGAGTGAATGAATTGTATCCCTCTCTCAGTGAAATAATCGCTATTGATGGGATTCAAAATAACAGCACTAAAGAAAAACGTATCTCACTAACATCTGATGATGAATGACTGCAAAGAAAATAAAATTAATTCAATGATTATAAGAATATTGATGAAGATACCATTCAACTTAATTGAAAATCGGACACAATTAGTCAAAAAGGAACTCATTCAATTTGAGAAAGTAAAATAAACCATTAATTATATATAATAGAAGAGGAGAATGTACAAAATAACCAGTCGGAAGCATATTGTCAATTTATTAGCAAAAATAACTATACTACATGCAATAAAAAAGAAATTTCCCACTTATTTAATTCCAATCAATATTTAAAAAATTACGCGCATAGCAACGGGTTCACATGCACACTCTCGTATTTCACATTATCTCCTATCATTTTTTTGTTACGGAGTTGGTAGCACTGCAATACAGCCACACACATCAAGGAGGGAGCCCGGGAATTTACAAATTGAATTTGGTGCATGAACGATAAATTCCACAGATATTTTTCAATTGAGTTCCGTGCATAAATAAATTCTGGAAGAAGCAAATTAAGTCGGAAAATCTGGAATAAGTAATTAAAAGTCAGTGGAAATGATGACTGTGAAGTACAATTATTTGTTTTGCTTCGATTGTTAATTGGAAAGATGATCTATCGTGTTAAAAATAAATGAGCCGAATTGAATTGGAAATAAGAAAAATTTATAGGATATAATAACCATTACTTGCTTATTTTGAAAAAAATGATGAAATCTCCCTAAAAAAACAAAAACAAATGTTTTTGTAAAAAAACAGCACCATGAAAAAGTTTGGGTTGGTTCTTACTGGGAAGTAGAAATATTTGAAAAATACAAAGAAATGAATGTTGGATATGGAAAATTGATAGGATATTTATTACTTAAATATTCTAGTAATTTTCCTGACCGGGCAATAAAATAATTATTTTTATTTAGTGCAGATCCTTACCTTTAAAGTGCTAGGCACATCTGTTTCATAAAAAAGAATCGAGGGTGATAATCTAATAAAGTTTTAACTGACTCATTTGTACTAAATTTATTTCAGAGTAGGAATGTTAAACAAAGGAAATATTACGATTTTATGCCTTGATCAATAATCAATACAAATATAAACAACAGTAATATTGTACAATATTGATTTGAATTTTAACAAAGGCTTTGAGGAGATTAGGGAGAGACAAAGCGAAGAAACCCTCGATAACAGATTAACATTTGGGTTACTCACTTTCAGGTTGTCGTCACTCCTCTTTCTGGTCACTCGCTTCCAATAAACTATTAGTCCTTGCTCTTCCGAAATGGGTTTTGATTTAATTAGTAGATTGAGTTTTTCTCACAATTTTACACTGTGACCGTAACAGGTAATTTTGCACCCCGTCAGACGGTACCGTATAAATGATTTAATTTGAACAATATGCGGGATCAGCACTACGAAGGTGTGCGTAATTGCGACTTGACTTCCCTTTACTCGGAAGGATAGATAAACGCCGGGCAGAGGTAATGACTGATTCCGGAATCAGGTATCTAAAGTTCGCGAGGAGTTCGCTCCTTGGTGTGATCGACTTCGATGGTAGGATAAGACTGTCTGTAATTTTGCAAAATTTTGGTACGTACGTTCCCGGTCAATGCCCGAGTGCAGGTAGTTCGATGCTGATTTCGCATCATTTCAGCTATATTCGTCACATTCCGTGGATGAGGCCGTGTTTGGTGTTGGGAAATCGAAGCATTTTGTTAGCTCGATTTTCCAGAATATTCTTTCAATAAAGGAATTTTTATTTCATGCATTCAATATTATGGGAGAATAAAATAGAATATTCTCAAACACAACTTGAAAAAGAAAGCCAAGTCAGCAATGTCAAATGAACGAACATAGTGCGCAATCAGATTTCTATGAGAAAAATAGTTTCAAATCGAATAAGGATTTTACAAAATTCGTCATGAAATAAAAAATAACTGCAAGGAGAACCAACGCCAACGTGAACGCCAACGTTGAAAGCAACGCCAACGCCGCACCAATGTTCTTGGCACGGAGCTTTTAAACTCACTATCTAGTATCAATCTAATCCGCCATTTTTCCGCGGGTTCCAAATAATAAAGTAACCCGATGGCTTGGCGCAGTGGGTAAGTTCGTTGCCTCACTCGATGCGATGTTGGTCGGATCCGTATTGATAATAATGAATTTGTTATCAGTGAGGAAACAGATCTGATTAATATCCTCGGAGCCCACTATCAGAGTAAACTCTCCTCGCTATTGAAACGAAAACAGTAGACTAAAGAATTGATTGACAATAGAATTGAAACATTCAAAACGAAAATGCTTGATGATATAAATAACGGATCTAAAGTTACCAGTTTTAATAAAAATAATAGAGCTTCAAATGCCTATTCAAACTCATCCACTAAGAATTATTTCACTGATGCTAGTACCGTAAAAACAATCCTCAAATATCTACCTAACAAAATATGAAGCGGAATAGACAAAATTCCTCCAATATTAATCAAACATCTGCCAGACTCAATGATTGTGGACCTAGCAATAATCTTCAATAATGCGTTGAATAATTATTACTTTCCAACACAGTGGAAAACAGCCTTGGTAATTCCTATACATAAAAGACAAGAACCTAACCGATCCCGCAAGTTATAGACCAATCAGCATGACTCCCTCATTAAGTAAAATCTATGAGGCAGTTATAAACAATTCGATCTTGACATATAAAAAATCTAATAAAATCATTCCTAATAATCAGTACGGTTTCCGATACCATCACTCGACTCTTCACGCAGTGAACAAACTGCTAAGCGATGTTTATGATAATATTTTCCAATCCAGAATGGTCGGGGCAGTCCTTCTGGACCTGGAAAAAGCGTTTGATTCAGTATGGTTAAACGGTCTAATTTTCATACTGATAAGAAATAAATTGCCAGAACCTCTAATCAGAACAATCTGGAGCATGATTCATGGCAAGAAATTCAGAATCTTCTTAAATCACAACAATACGATGAGTTCTATTTTTCATATCGAGGAGGGACTACAACAGGGAACCATAAACTCCCCTTGTTTGTTTTCAATTTTCACTGCTCACATGATTAATGCTTTCGATCTCAACAATGACAATACGACTTACTCACTTGCCTACGCGGATGATCGCATCATTTACGTGGCGGGTGATAAGGGAACCGAAATCTCTCATAAATTAAATGACCTAACGAATAAAGTTAACAAACAATATGCTACGTGGAACCTCAGGGTCAACCCATTAAAAGATGAAACTATATTATTTAGAACCACTCTGGCCCATATGTCAAGGCCTAAGCAAAGAAGCGTAAAACAATTCAAAATTAAAATTATCAATCCAGACACCAATGAAGAAATCATCATGCCCAATAAAGATACAGTCAAATATCTGGGTGTACACATAGACTACTTAGTCCGATGTGCTAAACACTCAGACATCCAAATAGAAAACCCAGAAACCGATATAGATCATTGGGCTTTCTCTTTCATAATAAATTCATTAATAAGAGAGCCAGAATTATTTGCTATTTGCTACTAATTAGACCTTTATTGACATATGGGTCAGAACTATTATGGAACATGGG